ATGTTCAGTGGGATTGTTTGTTTGATCTAGTGATATGGATCTTGTTATTACATTGGTGATCAAAGGGGACCTGTTAGGCTTACTCATATCAGAGTTACTTGACTGAGACGTAGGATCCACACCTTTAAAACACCTTCCTTGTTGACAAGAAGCGGGTCGAGTCAGTGGCTGTCATTATTTTTTTTTCACATCAGGGATCTGTATTTCCATACTTGAGTCATGAGTAAAGGTGATAGTTGTTTCAAAATGCGACTGTGCTGTGAATGTTGTGGCACAAAACAGTCCCCCAGCAATGGCTTTCATATGTGCCAGTGCCGTCCTGGGGTGAGCAGCACTTCTCGAGACTGGTTCCTTGGGCCCTAATCCGAAGCCAATTCAAGTCCCCTGCTGGCGTCGGTGGACTGGGGGTCAGGTCGCACCACTTTCCTATCCTTCCAGGTGCAGACCTGTTGTTCCTTCGTTAGTGCTGGTTTGCTTGATGAGCTGATGATGAAGGCCCCGCGGTGAGCTGAGCTGCTGCATAAATCAAAAGCTGAGGATGTTCCCATATAAGCAGCACATGAATAGAGACTCCGCTCTTGCGTGACATGTGCTGATGCTCCAGGCCAGAAGTGACAAGTGACAGGAAGTCTACGTGGTGCCGGGTGTGCGAAACAGACTTGTGAATCCCGCTGCCTACGTTTTTTTAGTTCCTAAGCTGCTGTTCTGCAAGCTGGGCCCCATTGTTCCCCTTGGCTTGAATGTTCAAAAGTGACTCGTGATTTTGGTGCCTTCTTTTTTGGGGGTGCTGTATTTGGGACCCCCACAAGGAAAGTTGATTTTTAGAAAGCGGGTGCTCAGCGCTGTCTTGGAAAAAACCCCAAAAAACAGGCTCACTTAAGACCTCCGCAGTTACCAGACACTTCTGAAAATGTCAGGCTTTGCCTTTGTTTCCCTGGTACGGGGGATAGGAGCCTATTAGATTGTATAAGGACCGATATAAGGACTTCTCTTCAGGTCTGGTAAAGTGTGATCATTAAAAACATCGGCAGCATAACACACGTCTATGTTTAAATGTTTTCTGTGTTAACTAGTAACATTCTTGCTTGACCAATCTCATTTCCTTCTACGACCAGGTGACCTATCACCTGGACAAGGGAGAAGAGATTGATGTCATATATCTTGACTTCAAAAAAGCCTTCGATCTGGTGTCCCATGATCGCCTCTTGGAGAAACTGGCCAATTGTCGCCTTGGGTCCTCCACGATCCGCTGGCTGGAAAATTGGCTCCGGGGTCGGACCCAGAGGGTAGTAATCGATGGAAGTCACTCATCGTGGTGTCCTGTGACCAGTGGGGTCCCCCAAGGCGCTGTCCTTGGACCCATTCTGTTCAACATCTTCATCAATGATGTGGACACTGGAGTCAGAAGCGGACTGGCCAAGTTCGCCGATGACACCAAACTTTGGGGCAAAGCATCCACACCAGAAGACAGGCAGGTTATCCAGGCTGACCTGAACAGGCTCAGCAAGTGGGCGGACGAGAATCTGATGGTGTTCAACGCCGATAAATGCAAGGTTCTCCACCGTGGGGAAAAAAAACCCGCAGCATCCTTATAGGCTCGGCAGTGCTACGCTGGCTAGCACTATGGAAGAAAGAGACTTGGGGTCATCATTGACCACAAGATGAACATGAGCCTGCAATGCGATGCGGCGGCTAGTAAAGCGACCAAAACGCTGGCTTGCATCCATAGATGCTTCTCAAGCAAATCCCAGGACATCATTCTCCCCTTGTACTCGGCCTTAGTGAGGCCACAGCTGGAGTACTGTGTCCAGTTTTGGGCTCCACAATTCAAAAAGGATGTGGAGAAGCTTGAGAGAGTCCAGAGAAGAGCCACGCGCATGATCAGAGGTCAGGGAAGCAGACCCTACGATGACAGGCTGAGAGCCCTGGGGCTCTTTAGCCTGGAAAAGCGCAGGCTCAGGGGTGATCTGGTGGCCACCTACAAGTTTATCAGGGGTGACCACCAGCATCTGGGGGAACGTTTGTTCACCAGAGCGCCCCAAGGGATGACGAGGTCGAATGGTCACAAACTACTTCAAGATCGTTTCAGGCTGGACATAAGGAAGAATTTCTTTCCTGTCCGAGCCCCCAAGGTCTGGAACAGCCTGCCACCGGAGGTGGTTCAAGCGCCTTCATTGAACACCTTCAAGATGAAACTGGATGCTCATCTTGCTGGGATCCTATGACCCCAGCTGACTTCCTGCCCTTTGGGCGGGGGGCTGGACTCGATGATCTACCGAGGTCCCTTCCAGCCCTGATGTCTATGAAATCCTCGCGGTATTTTCAACTGAGGCTAAGAGAGTTAGTTACCCAACTCCCGTTAAATCTCAGTGGCATTTGGCTTTTAAAGTACCGTGGGGATCTCTAAAAATCCCAACCTGAGATAATTAAAAGGCAAAGAGTCAAAAAACAACAACTCTTTTTCACTTTGTATTCCAATTAACACGTGTAACACAATAACGAAGCCGTCCCTGTTACAGCGAGACACTCCACCGCCTGTTCTCCTCTCCCTAGGAGAGGATGAAAGAACAGACGTGACAGAAAGTGACCCCAGATTTGCCACCAAGGAGTGTTTTCCCCAGGTCAGTTTGGCAAGGCTTTGGGGGTTCTGCCTCCCTTTGCAGCAGGGAGCATAGCCGTCTTCCTAAGATCATCTGACCGTACATTCACCTAATAACTTCCCCACCATTGCAGTGGAAGGGTACTGATGGTCTCCCCTGCTTTTTGCCTCTGGCTTGTTGTAGGGTCTGTTTTGTTTGGATCGTGTGCTTTTGGGCCGTGGCGTGTTGGGGGCTGTAGATGAATTTTCGGACTCTAGAAATAAACGGCTGCCTGAGAAGGCAGAGAGCTGGACTCAGGAGCCTTACTGTTCGTGTGCTTCAAAGGTTGGTGCACAGCTGAAGAGGCTTGGTACTACGGCGATGAATGCAGTGCAAGACCCCATGCAGGACAGGACAGCCCTCTGCGGTATTGATTCGATGCCTCCTTTATTCACGTCAGGTAGCTCGGCAAGCAAAAGCAGCTTGCTCTGTTTCACTTTCTGTTTGCAATCCGTTTTCACTTTCTGGTCCCATGCACCAGCCCAGGGCTGTCACGTCTGGGATTTACCACTCCAAGGGAACAGGGTTGGAAGAGGAGGGAAACTTGGCGTCAGCATTTTTTTCAAAAAGTGAAAATGTTTTAACAGCCTTTGCCCCCTTTTTGTGACAGTCTTTGATGAGGAAATCCAGAGAGATTGCTACAGCTCCCACTGATTTCCTGAATTTGGAGCCTGGAGCTACTTGCTGGTGTCCCTGGAGACCCATGAAGCTTGAGCTGAATCGTGATTCGAGAGAGTGCGCGTAGGGCTGTGATTTGGCAGTGAGCGCCGATGCTGCGGTCAGACCCCGTCGGGGCATTCGGCGAACTCCCAGCCCCGACCCGCTTGGTGCGCGTGGGGAATTCCACGCGCCCGGGCTGCCGAACGCAGATCTACGTGAGACGAGACGAGCACGTGCAGGATAACGGGTTGCAGACCAGAAGAGAGGAAGTGCAGGGACTTTCGTGCGACTTCCATCGTAGGCTGTAACAGCGTTTGCTCTGTGCAGATGTTTGCGTGCGGTGAAGGGAGTGAGGATGAAGAGCTCAGATCTGGGTCTTTCAGACCCAACAGTATCCGTTCTTTAAAAGGCAGCTGATGCTGTGTTTTAGTTCCTCTATGTGATGCGATATGGTTGCCTCTAGTTGTGCAGCTGTGGTTTGTCAGGAGTGAGAGCTGTGAGTCATGAACCCTGGGATCTATTCCTGGCCATGCTGCTAACTCCTTGTGGTACCTTAATGTCTCTGTCACCCCTCTTTCCCCTTATAGAAGGGGATGATATACACCCACCTTGCAAAACATTGGGAGATCTTGTGATGACAGGTGCCAAGTGTATTATGTGGGCACATATACGTCAGTTAAGAGAGCGAGCAGAGTCTGGGGGCCAGAGCCAGAGCGCAGTTACGTTGGTGTACGTTTGGAGTAAGTCTCGCTGCCTTGGAGTCCCTCCAGGTTTATATGGGTGTAGCTGAGACTGGAATCCAGCCCAGGGAGAGTGAAAACATCCAATGATGATTAATTCAGCAAAATGTGAAAGTTGTGTGTCAAGCGTGTTTCATGCTTCACTTGCCCCAGGCTGATTAGCATCAATTAAATAATTATGGCCCCGGTCTCGCAGCTCAGGAGCACAGTGTTCCTTACAGACGCTGCGACTGTTGCAGTACTTCTGTGGGTTGGGCGAGTGTTTGCCCCCCATTTGACAGATGAGGAGACTGAGGAAGAGAGAGCACATGCCCACAGAGTGACTATGAGCAGAGCCATCTCTCTCGAATCCTGTCCTGGTGGCTGAAGCCCGAGACCCTCCTCCTGTCTCCAGCATCGGTCTGATCAGGGCACAGTTGGGTTGTCCGAGAGTCTGGGTAGCTGGACTGAAAAGTACCTTCCTGTCTTCTGTGCGATGAGCAAACGCTGTAAAGCTATTTTGAATTCAACTTTTCCTGTGCTCATTTCCCAGCTGTCTAACAATGGTGCCAAGACATGGCGTTTTCAACCACGTGCGTGTGTTTTGGCTTCTTTTTCCCAGTGATTTAAGAGAGGTGGCAGGGCCATGGAGGGGGCAGCGGGAGACCTTTGTTCTGGTTCCCTCCTGCCATTGACCTGCAGCCTGTCGCAGGCTAAGTCACTTCCCCGCACCGTGCCTTCATTTCCTCTGCCAGCCTTTGTGTGCCTTGTCTCGTGAGACTCTCTCTTTGGGACCGGTGCTTATTACGTGTGTGTCCAGTGCCTGCAGCAACGGGGTTTCGATCTCGGTCGGGTCTTCCCTGTGCTATCCCGCTAGAAATAACGCTGACAACTGTGGGTGTTTGCATTCTTCCTTCATGTTGACACGGCTCTCTGGTCAAAGGCGGCTGCTTAGAGATCACGTTCTCTTATGATGTTTCAGGACACAGACAAAAACTAGAGGACCAAGCCAAATCCTACTCTGATCGCTACAGTGAGCTGGATCGTCTGCGCCAGTCTATGAGAGTCACCCCAGCAGCTCCCAACCCCCGCGGATCCTTGAGTGCCCCAGGTCACTTCGGGTCGCAGGCTCAGACTCCGATGCAAGGTACCCGTTTGGTTCATTCACACGCGCCTGGTTCTACACTTGAATCTCTTAGGCTGATCCGGACAGTCTGGCCCAGGGTTCGGAGGGAGCGCCCCTTGAGCCATGCCAGAAAGGTGGTGTTCTCCTTCCTGACTTTGCCAGCATGTGTTAAGTCTGCCCTGCGTGGGGATAAGGCCCCCGTGGCCGAAGGTTTCAGCTTCTCATTGGGGTTGGAGTGATGTCAGGAGTGGTCATCCAGGAAGGAGCCCTGTGCTGGTGAAGGCAGCTTGAAATGGGAAAGTGCCACGCTGACGGGTGTGTGGGAGCTGCCCCCCACTCCAGCCCCTGGGGTCCCTTTGCCTCTCCTGGTGGGGATTCCCATGAAATGAGAGCGGACCACAGGGCTGGGGCCAGAAGCCTAAAACTCATCAGATTTACTCGTTGTGCTCACATACGCGGCCCTGAGGAAAATGGATTTTCCCACTTCAGGCAGCAGATCCATGAGGTGAGGGGAGAGGAGGGATCTAGCTACTGACTTTAAATTCAGAAGCCGCTTGAACACGTATGCACTTGTGCAGGTAGGCTGCTAGACACGGCCCAGAAAGGGCGTGTTACACACTACATGGATCTCAGAACTGTTTCTTCTCTGCTAGCACGCTCTCATGCCAGATCTGATCTCTCAGCTCACCAAACGGTGATAATCCCCTACATACATGTGCACGGACACACACAGACTAAAGTTAGTCCCAAGTCAGTCCATACCCACAGTGTTACTGTGCAATAAGGTGTCTACACGTGTGTTACTGCGCAGTAACTAATCGGGCATAAATTTGATACCTGCATGATGCAGGTATCAAATTTACACTCAAGTCGGCATATGTCACCATATTTACTGTGCAGTATGAGTGTGCACGTGTAGACACAGCTGTACTGCACGGTAATTTTGGTTACTGCATAGTAAATGCATATGTGTAGACATGCCCATGAAGTACAAAAGGTTGGGAAAGGTTAGAAATTAAGTCATTTCTTGCTAAAATTGTCTGGTTCTTTTTTTTTTCCATCAAAATTTGGGTGAAAATTGTAAGAGAACAGAATTTGTTGGAGAGGGTTACCGTTTCAGCTGTACCTAAATTACGTAGGCTTAAATGTCATTAACTGTCAATAAAACTTAACCCTAAGTCACTTAAAACCTTTCGAGTTTTACCACCGCTCCACACCCACCCAGCGGTAAATCGGAGCAACATTTTTGTTTGGTTTTATTCATGGCCGTTCAGTTTTTTACCAGCTCTACTTGGACTTCTCTTTAAGAATGGTGGATCCTGTTAAAAGGATGCAGTCAACCAGCAATAGGACTATTGACTGAGGGTTTTTAAAAGAGAGGGAAAGTCTTTATAGACTGATTATACAGAATGGTCTTTCATGATTGAAAAAAATCCACTGTAAACGGTTTTTGAAACGACCCGTTCTCCTGCAGCGCTGAGAACCCAACGGTAGCAGTTTCGGGCAAAGGCCTGAGATCAGATAGCAACACTGACTCAGAACCAAAGTGGAAGCGTCTGGGCTAAGCTCACTGCTTGAAGAGCACATCAAGCCAGAGCAGAGGGAGTGAAGAGTGAGCAAAGTGCTTAAAAAGCTTTCTTTTCTCATACTCTAACATTGGAAGGAACTTTCATTAAAGCCTCGCGGGGCAAATCCTGTGCGTAGTTACACGGCTATAAATTTGCAGCAACCCTGTTACGCTTAATGGACCCGCATGTGCTTCATCACTGTAATGGTGACAGTGTCCTTCTGACAGCACGCTCCATAACCAATAGTAATACTAAGCCTCTCTCTCGTACACACACAGGTTATTCACAAAGACCATAGTTTTTATACAGGCAATTGGAGCTCACCCCAGGCCAAGAATAACAGAGGAGTTAACAGGCTTGTAGTTTTTCTCATGGCTTGGCACGCTCTTAGGTAACGCATAGGAGGACCGCTGAAGCAGACCGAGCTGACCCGGGTTGGGAGGGACAAGAGGGGCATGCTGGACACAGCCTCCATTACCACTGTACCTCGCGGGCATAGTGGGGTCAGCCCTGCAGCACCCTGGCAAGGTGCTCGAGGTGCCACTGGAAGTCAGTGGAGGAACTGGGTTTCTGGCTGAAGGTCTGACTTCCTGTGGGCATCAAATAGGACTGAATGGCTCTTGATTTAGAGCATCGACTGTTCGTGGCCCGATGGGTGTTCTTAATGTTTCGGGCTTTGTGCCCAGCAGTTGTGCGAGACGGTCTTGTTTGCAGAGTTTTTAAGAACAGGTTAGACAAGTAGTTGTCTGGGGTGATTCAGAAGGGGGGTTAGCCTAAATGACCTTCTGCGGGTGCTTCCAGTCCTACTTTTCTGAAGGCTATTGCATGGCCCAGTCCTAGCACACGACGGCTGTGCAGCCTCCCCTCCCAAAACCAAATGGGGACAGACATGGACTGTACGAGCAGCAGACAGCTGCAACCTGAGCTGCCCTCCACATAATCCCTCAGTTCATCATTCCTGTTTTGAGTTGCAAAAGCAGGGATTAATGCTCCAGGTAGGCAGCTGTTGTAGAGGAGAACGCGCTGCGTGTGTCTAGGCTCCGCCCCCACTTCCTGTGGCCACACCCAGTCCCACCTCGGTAAGGCGGTGGAATGACTCAGCCGGGGAGAAGAAAGCCAGTCGGCGAGGGCGGCACCTTGCCCTCGAGGGTGGAGGCTTGTGACTAGAAGTAGGTGACATTTTTTGGCAGAAACGGTTTTTGGGGGGAAAAAAGAAAGGCGATTTGGTGGTGCTGGTATGTGGCACCCGTTGGCTTGGGGTTTGCCAGTGGGTTGTGTCGGCCTCCCCTCCCCCTCCCATCACCCGAAACTGGGCAAAATGTTTCATCTTCACGTTTGCCAAGCAGAGCCCTCCTTTCATTTTCTTTCTACAATAAGTTTAAAAAAGCCAAACCGCTTGCAAGCCACTGCTTGCTGCAGGCACACGGGCACCTCGTGCTGCTGTTTCTGGCCGCGGCTGGCGGTGCTCCTGCCTGTCCGGCTCTGGGGCAGGCGTCGGGAGCAGAGCTACAAGCTCCAGCAAAGGAGAGAAGCACGGAGCCTGATGCCGGAGCAGAAAGGCCCTGGCTCTCCCTGTCTGACCCAGCGGTGCTGGGAGAATCACGAAGGCAATGCTGTTGGCTTCTAATAGCCTGGCAATGTTTTCAAGGGGGGAAACGGTAACCCAGTGTGGCTTGGGGTCATGGCGGGGAACGTGCCCCCCAGCCCCGCTCCGACTGCTTTGGCTCCCCCGGCCATTTCTGCCCAGAGCCCGTGCACGGTGCTCCGGCTGATCCCGGGAGCCCCTGTGTTGACCTAGGGTAGCAATCCTTGCTGCCGCAGGAAAGAGCTGTGTGTGAACCAGGCGCTCTGCTAGGCTCTGGGGGGGGTGTATGTCGCACACCCAGGCTCTTGCTCATGGATCAGCTTTTTGTGCCCACCCGTGCGGATGCTTTTTCCTCAGTTCCCATATCTGGCTCAAGCCAACACACATCCAGCTCCAACCCCAGACCTGGCAACAAACCCTCCCTCCTCTCCCCCGGCCCTTCCCACCACCGTAACACCTTCTCCCATCTGTAGCCTGCCCAGAGTACAGTTGTGCTGGGCCAGGTCCTGCTCTTCTTGGTTCTCCTGCTAGGAACCAGGAGTGTCTACAGCTGAGGTCCGAGGAGTGGCTTTGCAGTTATGTTGGTGTAAAAGGGAGCAGAGCTTGGCTCTCTGCCATCGGTATGAGGCTTTCACCGAGGCGGGTCCTGGAGTTTATAAATAGCCCCATGTAAAACGTTCTTTTTGAGGTTAAATGGCCTCAAACTGAAAAACTCCCTGTAAGAGAAAACCCAGTCATTTCTGACGGGAAGCTTAGAAAGACAGTTTTCCCAACACCATGGCCAAGGGGGTCAGGTTCTCCTCTCACCCTGGGACCAGTTGTTATAGCACCATTGCTTTCAGCCAGCTTAGTCCTGATTTACATCCTCGCAAGTGGAAAAGACAATTGCACCCCTTGCATATCGGCTTGAAACCGCAGTGCTTTTGTGTTCCCAGGCCCAGGTCTGCTGTCGCACCGGGCTGGTGGAAGTGCTACACGAGACAAAGGAGTTGGGTACGATTTACCCTCTTGTGTCATTGAAGCCACAACCCGGCCTTGCAGCCTGACACAGGCGGTGCCAGAGCTACCCGGGCTGCACCATCGGCTTCCACGGAGCTGGGCTCACGCCACGGGGGCCTCTGGCCCCATATTTCTGCAGCAATCCCGGAAAATCTGAGATTTAAAAATCCTGGCTCCCCCGTCCCGAGCGCAGAACGCCAAGCTGTCATTAGACCGGCTTGAAATTGTGCCTTGTGACAGGGCCTGCACGGGCAGGGCTCCACGGGTTTTCCCTGCGCTGCCAAGTTTCCCATCTTTGTTTCTTTCCTTTCTCTTTCCCTTGCTAGGTTCTTGCTTTGAGGGTTTTGTCTCTTGGCTAAAATAGTTGAGCAGGCTCCAGAAATGAAAGGAGATGTTGAAGGAACTCATTCCCGACTGCCTGAAGCTGCTCGGGGTCACGTGGCTCAGCGAAGGCTGCTGGAGCGGTAGCAAACCCACGTGCTCCAGGAAAAATCCAATTGTCCTAACAGCTGGCTAACTCTCTGTGGGCTTCTCTTTGCTTTGCTCTTGCTTGCTTGCTTTCTCTTTCTTTTTTCCTTCAAATTGCCAGAGTCAGGGCCAAATACGGTTGAAGACACAAGAGTATTGTCGCGGTGACTTTAGTGGGGGCGGGAGCAGGGCCCAAGGATACGGCACATCCCAGTGGTGCAGCCACGGCCCGTAACGTGCTGTGGACATCGGGCCAGTGGGTCCCTACTTGAGGTTTTCTCCTGGGGATAGAAATTCCTCCAGTGCAGCGGTCCTCGACCTTTTTGGGATAGAGGTACCCCCTCGCTGGGCGTGAGGCCTCCCTCCATAACTTTTGTGAGCCGAGTGGCACCCAGTTTCAA